GCCAGAAGAATGAACAAATATGTCTTGGAAGAAGTACAGCCAGAATGCTCCTTAGAAGCAAGGATGGGGAGACTTCGTCTCACATACTTCGGATGTGTTATCAGGAGGGATCAGTCCCTGGAGAAGGACATTATGCTTGGTAGAGGGTCAAAGAAAAAGAGGAAGACTCTCAACGAGATGGACTGACACAGTGGCTGCAACAGTGGGCTGAAGCATAACAATGATTGTGAGGATGGCACAGGACCAGGCAGTGTTTCATTCTGTTGTACATAGGGTTGCTATGAGTTGGAACTGACTTGATGGCACCTAACAACAGCAGTGAATAGAAGTGTGGGTTTTACTACCCTTCCATACCTTCTGCACCTCTGTATCTCAAATTGGATTGTATAATTTAAACAACTTTTTCCAATTTGATATCATAACTGAGGTTAAATTTTCATACACATCACTGAATCATTTTTGCATATATTGTGTGTATGTGTATGTCAGGAAGGGAGATAGGTAGTTTTCATTGCAAAAAAAAAGGTGTTGAATAAACCCTTTTGGAGCCATCTCTGAAGTAGAACTTGGCTGGAGAAAGTATCTTTGGTGGTCATACAAAATAGGTTCTGGTGCCACTCATTAAAGGTCCTTGATGAAGCTGATATTACTCTCCAGTGTCCTGGGATTTGGCTGGCAGACCCTCTCACTTATTCTGCCCAGTAGTTTTTGAGCAAACAGACCAGAGAAGACAAAGCTTGTTTTGTGGATCCCAACGGAGCTACTGCCTTGAACATGTATCCCCTGGCTTCAGAGAAGTACCAGAGACCCAATAGAGGTCTTACACAGTGGAAGAGACTGTGGCTTAATGCTGAATGTGTGAGAGGCACTATGGCATGTGATCCTGCCAAGTCCATGGGAAATACCTGTTTACCCTCAGCCTAATGGTCCTAAACATGATTCCTTGTTTTTATTAGTTCCAACCCTAATGCAATATACTTAAGTACCTACACCAAGATCCCTTAGTTACTAAGTTACTTTCATCAATAAAAGTTTCAGGACCATGACAATGGCCCTTACAGAGGCTTTACAAGTTTATACTATTCATCTACTTAGATTAACACATATTATTCTTTATAAAAATGTCCAGTCTTTTCCCTCCCCAGAAACGATAACCAGGACTTTTTAAGGTAAAGTCAGATATCTTTATAAATGCGATGATGACCTGGATTCAAAGGGGTCCAAATTTAACCAGTAAAATTATACCCAGTGAAGGCCAGCCGTATAGGAAAGAGATACTAACAAAGAGGATGGTCCCATGGGTGATCCCCATATATGCCCCACCCCAGCATGGATTAGCAGGGAACCAGTTATAATTGTTTCAGATGTGTGGTATATGGGGGTATTATTCTCCACAATAAGAAGCCATGTTTCAATCAGGTTCTGGAACATCAAGATGAATGATCTGAGTCCTCCAACCTTGAAAAATCATTAGAAGCAGTAGGATTAAGGAAGCTATATTATGAAATTCAATTGGAATCCTATTTAGATAATTATTTGGTTCCTAAGCCTTCCTCAGCCATATATTTAATGTTGATTTAGAGCTGGTATTTGTATATCTCCCATTTTGTCTCCTGGATAACTAACCCACCCTTTGTGATGAGATGGTTCATATAAATTTTTCTTCCTTGTTTTCTTTGTTTTAATAAAGAGCAAATCAGGGCCTACTACTGATGTTTTATCTGTTCCCTTAAATTATATATATATATAAAAAGTTGCCGTCGCTTCAACTTCTACTCATGGCAACCCCATGTACAGCAAAACAAAATGTTGCCTGGTCCTGCACCATCTTCACAATTGTTGTTATGCTTGAGTCCGTTGTTGCAGCCACTGTGTATTTTGAGTGCCTTCCAAGCTAAGGAGCTTACCTTCTCCCAGGGTTGGGCCCGTTTATTAATAGAATCTTTATGCATCTGCAATTACACAGCTTGTGACACTATCCACCAGAGTAGCAGGTAATGAAAAGGCAACTTGTGTGAGGCACCTGAGCTGAAATTTTAGATGCCCATTTCAATATGTAATAAGACAAAACCTGTGGTCTGCAGATGATTAGACTAATGAGAGTTTCATTTACTGCTGTTGTTGTTAGGTGCCGTTGAGTTGGTTCAGACTCATAGCGACCCTATGTACTAGCGACCCTATGTACTACTGAACGAAACACTGCCTGGTCCTGTGCCATCCTCACAATCTTTATTATGCTTGAGCCCACTGTTGCAGCCAGTGTCAATCAATCTAGCTGTGAGTCTTCCTCTTTTTCGCTGACCCTGTACTTTACCAACCATAATGTCCTTCTCCAGGGACTGATCCCTCCTGATAACATGTCCAAAGTATGTAAGACATAATCTTGCCATCTTTACTTCTAAGGAGCATTCTGGTTGTACTTCTTCCAAGACAGATTTGTTCATTCTTTTGGCAGTCCACGGTAGATTCAATATTCTTTGCCAACACAATTCAAAGGTGTCAATTCTTCTTTGGTCTTCCTTATTCATTGTCCAGCTTTTGCATGCATATGAGGTGACTGAAAATACCATGGCTTGGGCCAGACACACCTTAGTCTTCAAGTGACATCTTTGCTTTACAACACTTTAAAGAGGTCTTTTGCAGCTGGTTTGCCCAATGCATCTTTTGAGTTCTTGACTGCTGCTTCCATGGGTGTTGATTGTGGATCCAAGTAAAATGAAAACCTTGACAACTTCAATCTTTTCTCCATTTATCATGATCTTATTGGTCCAGTTGTGAGGATTTTTGTTTTCTTTGAGGTGTAATCCATAATGAAGACTGTGGTCTTTGAGCTTCATCAGTGCTTCAAGTCCTCTTCACTTTCAGCAAGCAAGCTTGTGTCATCTGCATAATGCAGGCTGTTAATGAGTCTTCCTCCAACCCTGATGCCCCATTCTTCTTCATAGAGTCCAGCTTCTTGGATTATTTGCTCAACATACAGATTGAATAGGTACAGTGAAAGGATACAACCCTGACGCACACCCTTCCTGACTTGAAATCACACAGTTTACTGTAGGGTCCTGCATATTATCCTATTTTACCATTTGTCATAAACTTAGATGCTGACCAAAATTTGCCTGCAGGACAAATTGGATTGATTTATATAGGGCATCTTTCATGAAGATTATTAGAAGCTAGTTTGTGCCTTTCTTCAGTGCTCTGGATACTATATCTCACAATGGACCGATGGATATTTAAAGACCAACTTTGTTGCAACTGCCCATGACTAACCGTTTCTTGATGCTCAAAGTGTCTCTGCCTGACTGTGGAAACTCACTAGGGCTGGCCCCTTTCGCCTATGTGACACTATCCAGATGTCTCTGAAAGTATTTTTTAATCTATAGCTACAAGGTGTTAAAGTCCATTTTTATTTTTCTGTGTTAAGATAAGCTGCTCACCGTAAAGTCCTGGTCCCACATTACAGCTGTAACCAAAAAGGGTGCACAGCCTTATAAGGGTATGAACTAATGCTATTATCTCCAATTTAACTCTAGTCTTAACCTAGTCTAATACTTTACTATTAAAGCTTTTTTCCCTAATTCAATGTTTTCTGACCAATTTCAATGTTTCATAATCACAAAAAACCCCCACAATTTTAGTTTCACTTAAGGCTAGAAACTTTAGTGTACCTTTTATAAAAAAATACAATTCGACTTTATCCAGCAATAACAAAGAAAACAGTAGTCATCTCATCTTTCCATCTGTGTATGGGAAAGACACTCATACACAGGTAATGGCTGCAGCACAGGGGATGCTGTGTCCAATTTCTTGGGGACACATTTGGAGTTGGCTACACTGATACAGGTCTAGATGATTAGCACTATGAGCAACAATTAAAACACCATATTATGAAAAGAGAGTCCAGATATTTCTACCCCACTGAAAAATACAGAAATACTAAAGCACAGAGTACACCCAGTATCAATGGAATCCCCATACAGTTAGCACACAATAGTAATATCAGCGAGTATAGATAGCTTTGAGATTTCATCAGAAAAATCTCCTGTCTTTCCCATATGTTTGGTTCTTCTTAAAATTATTTTTCACCTAATCCTCACTATTCAAATTTCAGCACATTCCACTTACGATCACATCTCTGTGTGTGTATATATTAAATTAACAATCCAGGTTAATGGCGTGTCCTTGAAGTTTTTAAAAAGTACAGAAAATTCAGACTGTTACACCCACAGAATGTTACAGCCTACCACAGAATGTTCTGCAGGAGTAGGGTGGTCCTTATCCTCTCATAAGATGAGTAATGGTGGGGGGAAATGTAGACAATCCAAATATAGAACAAAAGAAAGAGCCTATGGTCAAAAAAATCACCAATCTATCAGATCTGCAGTGACCCAGGAGGTATAAATATCAGTAACCTAGACTTAAGCACAACACTATCAAAGAATGAACTAGTGGAACCTGAATAAGAGAAACAATAGGAATATCCAAGTTTCAAGAACAGCTCAATTCCAGGAATCATCCCTGAAGAGATGATCTTGAAGCTTGTTGCAGTGCGAACAATGGCTTTTCTCGCCATGGTCATGTAACTCCCACCCAGGTGATGCGGCAGGACTGTGCAGATAGGGATTGCATGGGAACTTGTCAGTTTTGCCATCCCACTGGGCTTGCAATGAGCCATTTCAGAGGCGAGGAAGAGAAAATACCACCACCACCAAGGAAGAACAACCAGCAGCCAACATACCCTTTGGACCCAGGATCCCCGTGCTGAGAAGCTCTTGGAAGCATTAGACGGAGGGAGAGTGAGATGTAACCCTAAAGATGGTGAGAAGCTGTGGCAAGAGAGACCTGGCAGCTGGAGACAGCATGGTGGGCTTCCTGTCCCACAGAGAAAACTGAGTGCCTTTGGGCAAAGGCCCAGGGCCAGAGAGAGGCATGCCTGAGAGCACAGTTAGGAAGAGGCTGTCCTGATGGAAGAACTGTATCCTGAACATTCCTGAACCTGAATTGTAACCTGTTACTTCCCTAATAAACCTCATAATTGTGAATACTGTGTATGAGTTCTGTGTGGCCATTGCAGTGAATTATCAAACCCACTGGAGATTGCTGTGGGAAGGATGGTTGCTCTAAGAATTGGTAAAGATGGCAGACAGGAGGCATGTCTGACCTCTGCCTCAGGAATCAGCCTTGAGCTGTTGATCTTGATTCTCCTTTCCCCTTGGGAAGTTAAAGGTTAGACAAGGCCCCCACACCATTTTTACACTTGTCACGGCCTCAGAATGAAAACTTCATAGAATATAGATGCTGAAGAGTCCAGAACAGGTGATATAAGTACTATGGAAAGGTTTATCAATGGCTAATACATTTTGACTGAAATCTCACTTCCAGTAGATTACAAACCAATACTATATTGGTTATAACACACAAAAAAAACCAATTTTATGGTTCCAACAGATCCACTTGGCCAAAGATTCACTTGGCAAATGCCAAAAGTGGTATTTTTAATGGAACAATTTTTACTGGAAAGTCTATAAAAGAGCCCAAATGAATCCAAATAAGGATTAAATCATCTTAGCCAGTAAACAACTGTCTACATCTCCAACTCATTTACAGTTTTATAAAACATTTTTAGAAAGCTTTTGAATATCTACTGGCAATAATCAAAAAGATACCGAATATTAAGTTGGTAATTCAACTTGGTTTTACAATCTTTTTCTGAGGGGATACCCAGCATCTGAACCCCCTTACTACGTTTGAAGAACATTCATTATAAGAGGAATGGACATCACCAGAGATCCAGATTTGGGATTGGATATAATAATGTGAAACTTTGGGTTATCCCTATCTGGGAAGAGATCAAGCAGGATTTTAAAACAGATAGCTGTATTATGTTAGGTTATATGTATGTATTTAAATACGTATAAAAAGTGAAGAAAATGTTGATATATGGGCTGGGCAAGAGCTGGACTATACTGGAAACCTTATTTCTTTGCTGTTGCTTAGAAAACGAACAATTCTATAAATGACAAACTGCCCACTTAATTAGTATGAGTGAAAGGCAGGGCCCACCTACAACTACAGACTCTCCTGAAAACACGAGCTACTGGTGACCCTAGGACCCACCAGACCTGGGCACTTGCCCCAAACTTGGAATCAGAAGAAATCAATGCAGAGGCATGACCTCAAGGAACTCTCATGGGTTCTGCAGCATGAGTCTAGAAGTTATTTCTGTCTTCAGAGCCCTGAGCCTGATCTTAGTTTCTTGACAGTTATGTGAGCCATCTACTACCCTCTTTAAAAACTCCTTTTTCTGAATCAATTGGCTAGAATTGGTTCCTATGCTTTCCAGTTAAGAACTCCAGGTTGCTACAATTTGAAAAGAGCAATATGCTTACTTACTGATGTGAGCCATTAAGTCTTCTAAAGTAAAACTGACTGAATCCATGTGCAACATCTATAACAAACTAGAAAACACTGATTTTGCAAGATAAAGTTCTAAAGGCCGAGGTGAAATTAACTTGTCTTATTAAGTATAATAAGACATATAGAGTAGATGAATTCAGTCAAAAAACCACACTTTTTTAAAATACAAATGGCTTACCTGAAAACAGCATTAAAAAGTTTGGATTTCCTTCTTAGCTAAAATCTCTCAAAAACATCAAGAAAAGCACACTTTATATTTGTCAAGCCTAAGAGAGAACTGAAGCACCATACCACAAAATCAGGTAGAGTCCAAAAGCAGTAAAGACTGAGCTGGAGTGTGGGAGGAAATGAATATACGGTCCCCTCGGCAGGCACATTTCTATGAAGTGAGGGAGACATCCCTTTAACTGTAGACCAAGATCCTTCACAATGGGGAGAACCAAGTGCTTTGTCTTTCCTGGAGTCATTCTGGATCTGAGAACCAGAGAAGTCTAGGCTAGACAAGGAACAACGGGGAGAAAAACATATTTGCATGAAGCAGTCAAGCCCTATGACAGTCAAAGATGAGACTGCACAGTGAACAGCCCTGCAGATAAGTCCAGTGCTGGGTAGGAAGGAGTCAAGGCCAAAATCCACACAAACACTGGGAGCCTGGAATATGGCTGTTACAGGAGAAACTCACCTTATGCAAAATGAATAGTTGAAAATGAATGGGTACAAGCCCTGCGCAAAGACTTCGTAAGAATAGATGGATGTGAAAAAAACACCAATTTATTACCTCTGGGTCAGTCAGAGGCTTCAGACCTATGGTAGTACACAGGATTAGAATCCATGATTTAGGGGCAAAGGCCAGAAAAACATGCAAACCAAATCTAAAGATCAATGAGTACAAATCTTGCCTCTGTAAAAACATCCTTGCAAGTTTAATTTAGGTGATAAACACTTAGTTGGGGCAGCAACTTCCCGCTCAGAGGCCTCTCACATTAGAGGATATATCCCAGAGAAAAGACAAGTTGTGACATGAAGGGAGAACAAAACACTTTAAAAACAGAGCTCTTTTACACTGCTCTTGCTATATGAAAATAAGCCCACTTGCACCTTATACTGCCCATGCATTCTCAATTTCCTCCTATAGAACCCTCCCTGGACTAAATTTCCAGGTCCTCATTCTCAGGGAACTATTTTATTTTCAATGAATTATATCCCCGGGAATCTAAGCCCTGAAGAGTAACCCCCTGATTCTAACATAAATAGAAATCTCAGAATTCTGAGGAATCTTTGCTACCTGGTTTTCTAGTCTTCCCTAAATGATCAGACAAAACAGATGGAAATCTTTGTATTTCCTTTTTTTTTTGCTGATTTTTATTTGCCACATCATTATAGCAAAACAGCAATCTAAAAAGGAAGAAAACCATACATAAATCTAAAAATCAAATAGATACACTCATATCCCCTTTCAACTCTGATCCATATACAATTATTTTCTTATAATGGTTCTAGAAATGAATGTTCTATATTTTTGCCCTGCATTCTTCATTTCATATCATAGCCATTTCTCTATTTTCTACTAAATCTTCATATATAATAGGAAGTGCTGTATAAAACAGATTAGAAAACTACCAAACTGGGAAGTCATGTAATAAAATGATACACTGCAATACTGTTTCCTAAATTCTAAAAACTACAGCAATTTTTTCATCTACTCAACAATAAGCCTGCCAGTGTTAGCATTCTTATTTACTCTTTATTACAAAAGAGATTTGTCTCACTGGCAAACCACAGTCTATTGACCATTTGATGGTTTTCTTTCAGGCCTGAGTGCTTTTTGCAAAGAAAAGTGCCAATATTTATTAGTTTTATAGCAATGTGTCATGAGAGACAAGTTTGACTTTGTATGTGGAACGGCTAAGCAAAACAAGCGGTTTATAGTTTTTCCCTCCTCCTCCAGAATGCATTTCCAGATACACAAGAACGGAAAGTTTCCCACATACATTGTTTTTATAGTAGTTCTTCCCACTGTACGTACGCCTTCTAAAAAAAGAAATATACTCTGGCTAAAGGCTTTTTGCACTAGTTACATTCATAGGGTTTCTCTTCTGTGTGAGTCGCCTGATGCCTAATAAGTTTAGAGCTGTTAATGAAAGCTTTCCCACACTGATTACATGTAAAGGGTTTCTCTCCAGTATGAGTTCTCTGATGTACAATAAGTCGAGCACTCAAGCTGAAGGTTTTTCCACATTGATTACATTCATAGGGTTTCTCTCCTGTATGAGTTCTCTGGTGTTGAGTAAGGCATGAGCTCTGCCTGAAGGATTTCCCACACTGACTGCATTCATAGGGCTTTTCCCCAGTGTGCGTTCTCTGATGTACAACAAGAACATAACTCTGGCTGAAGGATTTCCCACACTGATTACATTTGTAGGGTTTTTCTCCAGTATGAGTTCGCTGATGCATAACAAGGTGAGAACTGCGGTTGAAAGATTTTCCACATTCATTACATTCATAGGGTTTCTCCCCAGTATGCGTTCTTTGATGTGCAACAAGCTGAGAGCTCCAGCTGAAGGATTTTCCACATTGATTACATTCAAAGGGTTTTTCTCCTGTGTGAGTTCTCTGATGGGCAACAAGTTTATAACTTTGACTGAAGGACTTTCCGCATTGATTGCATTCATAGGGTTTTTCTCCAGTATGGATTCTTTGATGCGCAATAAGTTTATAGCTCTGGATAAATGACTTCCCGCATTGATTGCATTCATAGGGTTTCTCTCCAGTATGAGTTCTTTGATGTGCAATAAGTTTATAACTCTGCCTGAATGACTTTCCACATTGATTACATTCGTAAGGTTTCTCTCCTGTATGAGTTCTTTGATGAACAACAAGAACATAGCTCTGGCTAAAAGATTTCCCACATTGATTACATCTATAAGGTTTCTCTCCAGTATGAGTTCTCTGATGGGAGACAAGGTGAGAGCTCCGGCTGAAAGATTTCCCACATTCATTACATTCATAAGGTTTCTCTCCTGTATGAGTTCTCTGATGTGCCACAAGGTGAGAGCTCCAGCTGAAGGATTTCCCACACTGATTACATTCAAAGGGTTTCTCTTCAGAATGATTTCTCATGTTTTGAGCAGGGGACGAGCTCTGGGAGGTTTTACTACGTTTATATTGACTCTCTTCAAAAGAAATTCTCTGTTGTTCATTATGGGATATACTGTGGTTCAAAACTTCACCACATTCCTTAAAATCAAAGGTTTTTCCTTCTACATGAATTTTCTCATGTATATTTAGGGGTGTACTCTGAATATTATCACCAAATTCATAGAATTTATCTTCTGTTTGAGTTCTTGTAAGCTGAATAAGGTGAGTGCTCTGGGGAAGATTTCTACATTCATTATTTTCACATAATTTCTCACTGTCATCAACCTTATGATGATTGTTTACCACAGAATTACGATTTAATTTTTTAACATGTGAGGCATGTTTATGAAAATGGTTTCTTGTGGGTATCGCCTGGGATGAAAGAAGACTGGAATTCAGACCACTCTTATCCTCAAGTTCATCACTTTTGCAGACCTTCTCATAAATAACAGCTTTCCTTTGGGTGAATGCCAGTTCCTTCAAAAGTCTCTCTTGTTTTTCTTGCTGCTTTTCCAACTGGTCCTTACAATCCCGGATTTCTCCACATGAAGACAACCAAGGATCACCCCTTGCCAACCTTTCTATCTTCACTCCATGGGATGGTTCTTCGTCAAAAGTGCTGAGCTTTGAAACTGATTCTCTTCTATCATGTGCAGTTGCCAAGTCTGAAAGAAAACAAAATAAGACAATCTAGACAAAACATGTTAGGGCTGGAATAGTGGGATAAACTTGACAAGGAAGTATGCAAAATACATGTGGATTTGCTTTCAGATATGGACTTATAACCCAGACTGAGAAAGCAAAAAGGATGGAATGAAGAACTACCATAGCCTAATAGTATAACAGAGCATTAAAATGGAACTATTATAATCCTAGTTTTGTCTGAATAGCCAAGATTTTAGATGCCAAATACTTGCATATTCCATTATGAGATTACCTATGCAGAACCCATAGGATCCCTGGTGGCACAATGTTAAGCACTTGGCTGCTAACTGAAAGGTTAGTGGTTGAAATCTACCAGGGGGTCCGCAGGAGAAAAAGATGTGGCAATCTGCTTCCGAAAGGTTACAGCCTAGGAAACCCTGTGGGGCAGTTCTACTCTGCCTATAGGGTCACGATAAGTTCGAATCAACTCAACAGCACACAACTACATGCAGAACCTACAGAATCTTAAAAACAATTTTGTAATCCTTGAAAAAGAAACAGAGGGCCCTGTCTACCTTTCTTAGTGCTAGATATATGTTCACTGAAATAAAGACTAGTGTCTTCATTTCTAGGAATTTATGATGGCATGACATTTGCTAACAGCCTACGTCAGCAACACATGAGCAAACTACATTTGTGAACCCAGGAAAAAGAATGGGGATGGCGTTCTCCCAGTTCCCAAAGTGCTTTACGGGTTAATAAGGCCTCACGGATTCCTGTAATTTCAAGTGACAGAAAGAACGGAGGTTAGCTCAGAGGCAGAAGCCTAGGTGGCCACTAGATCACACAACAGAGAATACACCTGGAAAAAGTGGTGATGCATGCACTCCACCAGGAGGTGGAGATGAAGAAAAATGTTGCACTCCCTATGGGGTTTTTCAAACAAACGCTCTATACCTGTGTGTCTTGTTCTCACCTGGGAATATGTGTTGAAAAATTATTTTTACACTCTTGCCCTTGTTCCAACTACAAGATTGTTCCAGTTTGAAATACTGATAGGGAAAGACATAGGACTTTGAGTGTTCGGGCTGGGATAAAAGAAAACCACTGCAGAATTCAGTCCCTGCTTTGGCATTTACAAACCATGAGGATTGAATAAGGTCAAGCTGAAGAAGCTGTATCTTTTCTATCCTACAAACTAGACTTAATTTTCACTAGGGAATAAAGAGCACAAACACAATTTATGTGTGGCCAAAATCACTCTGGCTGCTGAACCCTACAGCTCTACTAAAAATGTGAAATCATTCCAACAGGTAGAACTTCATTGAAGGGGACTGTATTCTTACCCCAAGAGACCAGGTCCCTGTGGTTCTCCAGCATCACATCTCTATCCAGGATCTTCTGAGCAGAGTTCAGGGTGCCCTGTTCCTCCTGAGTGTAGACCACAGTCACAATTTTGAAGTTCACTCTTTCCTAAAAGAAGACACACATGCCTGCTCAGCTGAGTATCATTTCCTTCCAGTGTTCATAAGGAAAAAAGAGACTGGCAAATGGAGGAAGAAAAACCTGATAGTCTGGGAGTTGCCCTGAGATTGTCAGTGTCTGAAGGGTTCTAGTCAAGGTATACAGGTGCCTTCTAAGTAAGTCCCTTTGGGTTTTGGACACTGGACCTGTTTTTACAACCCCAGAGAGGAGTACCAGACAAAAACTGATAGAAATAGTTTTCTAAGACTCTTGTCCACCTTAAAGAAAATGCTTACTCTGGTTTTTGCAATGGTGAATACAGAATCCCCACTCTGGAATTCCTTCCAAATTACCAAGAAGTTAACAGAATAGAAGTTGGTGAACTTTTTCTGCCAAAAGTCAGACAGTAACTATTTTAGCCTTTGCAGGCCACACAGTCTTTATGACAACTACTCAACTCTGCTGCTGTAGTAAGAAAGCAGCCACAGATATTTGTAAACAAATGATGTGGCTGTATTACAGTAAAATTTTATTTACAAAACAGGCAGTGAGCCAGATTTGGCCCACAGGCTGTACTCTGTTAATGCCTGAGATAGAAAATGAAACGTAGGTCTCAATGAAAGATAGTGTGCATAGGTTAAAAGCAATTAATTTGGAAGAGATGGGTTTTCTTACCTATAAAGAGCATATGTCTGCTGGGTCCCTGGGTGGCACAAAGTTTGCGCTGGACTACTAACCTAAAGGTTGGTGGTTTGAACCTACTGAGCAGCACCATGGAAAAAGGTCTGGCAATATACTTCCATAAAGATTACAGCCAAGAAAACCCTATGGAGTAGTTCTACTTTGTTGCACATGGGGTTGCCCTGAGTTAGAATCGACTTGATGGCAATGGGTAACTCTGGCAACTATCTTTTAATGGTGAGTTTATCCCATTTCTATTTATTAAGCTTAATTATACCCAACTCATTGGGTTGTTAAGTGAATTAATTGTGATAATATATGAAAAGCTGTTAGCAGACTTTACTAAAATAACGGTGGGCAATTATTATGATTATTAGTTTTGAGAACCCTAAAAAATTACCTGTCACTGTGACTAAATAAACCTTTATCCTGAACCCTTAGCCTTTGTCTGACAGTTCTTACATGCACATACTAGGACCTGCACTGCAGGGCTCCTTAGGAGACATTCACTGTCTTTACTGCCAAATAAAGGGGGTCTTCTGGGCTGCCTCCTCTAAGAGGGGAAGGGTTTGTTCCCAAGACAATTGAGCAGGAATTCTGACCCAGGAAAGTAGTGTTCAGGGTGAGCTGTCCTTACCCAAAGGCAGCAAAAGCCAAGGAAGTTGAATACCACTTAGCACTAACGGCTCTTCAAATAGACTAGGCGTTCTTAAACTGTTGTTCATGAATAGGATACAGGGTACTCTGAATCCCATGAAACTACATGCAACATGTTGCTGTACATGCATTTTCCTAACTCAGGGGCCCACAGATTTCACCAAAATCTCAAAGGTTTTCTGATTAGTACAAAAACGGGACTCAGAAATAAAATTTACAAACCAAGCTATGTTGAATATTGATCTTTAGGGTACTGTTTTTCAACCCCTAATTCATGCTTCCTTTTAACAAACACTTCCCTTTGCTGTTTAATGTAGGCACTTTTAATATCAAGCTTGTTCAAATGTCAAATAATACTAGATAATTTTATATTAGCACCTCTCATCCACCCCAGCTGTATGTTCTCAAAGCTCCCTGGACTTCTATCATAACACTCACCACATTTTATTATTTGCTTAATGGTCAACTTTGTCACTAGGCTATGACCCATGACAGCAGGGACAGACAAGGTATGTATATTTTATAACTGTAACTCCAGTGCTTAACAAAGTGGTGATGTATAATAGACACTAAATATATGTTCAGTAAATTATTTCAACAAGTTAATCAATAGTTATCAACAGACTTTCTAATATGTCCAAATAATCCTGGCCCAAATTCTGATTTAAGCCCTCTCCTCTCATCTGAATTTCACCAGGCATATCACATACCCCATATTAAGAAGTCCTTCAAAATGTTAAAAAAAAAGTTGCCATCAAGTTGATTCCTACTCATGGTGACCTCGTGTGTATCAAAGTAACACTGTGCTCCAAAGGTTTTTCTTTTTCTTAAATAATATTTTATTGAGCTTTTGGCGAAAGTTTACAGCAAGTTAGGTTTCCATTTGACAATTTCTGCACAAATTGTTCAGTAACACTGTTACATTTATCACGATGTGTCAACATTCTCTTTAATTGTGTTGTTTGTTCCATTTCCAGTAATCTAGTTTCCCTGCCCCTTTATCTCTTCATCTGTCCTTTCGAGTAATTGTTGATCTTTTAGTCTCATAATGATGGTATCATGGATTGAACTGTGTCCCCAAAAAAATGTGTATCAATTTGGCTGGGCCATGATTCCCAGTATTGTGTGGTTGTCCTCCATTTTGTGACTGATATAATTTTCCTATGTGTTGTAAATTCTAATCCCTGCCTGTGGTTAATGAGGCAAGATTAACTTATGTTAAAGAGGATTAGTGTGGGATGTAACACTCTTTTCCAGATCACATCCCTGATCCAATGGAAAGGGAGTTTCCCTGGGGTGTGGCCTGCACCACCTTTTACAAGAGATAAAAGGAAAGGGAAGTACGTTCCCCCAGAGCCAACAGAGAGAGAAAGCCTTCCTTGGAGCTGACACCATGAGTTTGGACTTGCAGCACCAAGAAAGCAGCTCTGGGAGGAGAGTGTGTCCTTTGGACCTGGGGTTCCTGGGCAGAGAAGCTCCTAGTCCAGGGGAAGACTGATGAGAAGGACCTTCCTCCAGAGCTGAGAGAAATTCTTCCCATGGAGCTGACACCCTGAATTTGGACTTCTAGCCTACTAGACTATGAGAGAGTAAATGTCTCTTTGTTAAAGCCATTCACTTGTGGTATTTCTGTTATAGCAGCACTAGATAACTAAGAGAGATGGTTTTTAAGCAGAGCACCAATCTTATGGGTAATATCCTTTATTTTGTGTGCCACTCTGCTATTTTGTTAAAAGGTGATCTCAGGAAAAATACTTGGTTCTAGGTTTAAAAAGTGTCTCAGGGTGATAGTTTCAGGGAGTCCTCTGTTCTCTATTGCTCCAGTTTGCCTAGCCTTTTTTTTTTTTAAATAAGAATTTTGAGTTCTGCTCCACGTTTTTCACCCATTTTATCCAGGACCACCTATTGTGATGAAAGAGTTTTATTTTTAATAATATTTTGATGTGTTTTTGGTGAAGGTTTACACAGCAGTTTAGGTTCCCATTCAACAATTTCTACACAAATTGTTCAGTGACATTCTTCACAATGCATGAACGTTCTCAGTATTTCCGTTCTGGTTGCTCCATTTCCATTAACCTAGTTCCCCTTCCTCCTTACATTCTTATCTTTGTTAAGTAATTGTTGACCACTTGGTCTCATATAGATGATTTATTAAAGAAGCAGACTACTCACAGGTGATATTCTTAATTTTATGAACTAATCTGTTATTTAGCTAAAAATTGACTTCAGGGGATAGTTTTGGTCCAAGGTTTAAAAGGTATCTCAGGGCAATAGTCTCAGGGAGTCCTCCAGTCTCAATTGGTCCAGAAAGTCTGGTTTGTCTATTTTTTTTTAGGATTTGAGGCTCTGTTCCACATTTTTCTCTCATTCTATCAGTGTCCATCTATGGTAGCCCTGGTCAGCATGGTTGGTGGCCGTAGCCGAGTACCATATAGCTCTTCTGGTCTCAGGGTAGATGAGGCCATGGTTTGTGTAATTATAAATCCTGTAGACTAGTTTCTTCTTTCGAGTCTTTGGTTTTCTTCCTTCTCCTTTGCTCCAGATAAGTAGAGACCAATAGATGCATCAGAGATAGCTGCTCACAAGCTTTTTAAAACGCCAGACACAACTCACCAAATGATAGGGAACATAAACTTCATGAACTATCTTATGCCAACTGACCAAAATGTCCCATGAGACTATCGTCCTAATCCTTCAAATCCAGGAAACCAATCCCACAGGGTGTTTCATTGTGTCTAAGAAGCATCCATAATTGTGCCCCCATGTGCTTTATTATATATATGAATATATGTGCATACAGTTACATACCTATATATACATCTATTTACCCATCTATCCATGCTCACATATACACACCTATACACATATTTATCTATATACATACATATATACCCGCACATATATTATTTGGTTGTTTTTCAAAATTATATACGCCATAAACCAAAAAACCAAACCCGTTGCCATTGAGTCAATTCCGACTCATAGCGACCTTATAGGACAGAGAAGAACTGCCCCATAGGGCTTCCAAGGAGTAGCTGGTGAATTCGAACTGCCGATCTTTTTGATTAGCAGCCACAGCTCTTAACTACTGTGCCACCAGGGCTCCATATATGCCATAGCAATTACCAAAACGTCCTTTTATCTGGTGTGCATTTTAATGACATCATGTACCTTCATCAAGGTGTGCACATTTCACCCTCATTCAGTGTTACCTTTCTCATCACCAAAAATATCAAGTGTTGACTGTCTAGAGACTGAATCCCTCCTTCCCTCCCCTACTCCCATCCCTAGTAACTGTTAATGAACATAAGTTTTTGTATACTTCCTTGTTCATGTCATTTCATGAAAGTGAGGACATACAATGTTTTTTTTGTGATTGACTTATTTTGCTCAACATAACGTTCTCCAAGTTCATCCATGTTCAAAGATGTTTCAGGAACTCATTTTTCTTTATCACTGAGTAGTATTCCACTGCATGTAGATACCACATTTTATTTATCCATTCATCCGTTGATGGGCAGTTAGGTTGTTTCCATTTTTTTGCTATCATGAATAGTGCTGTGACGAACATAGGTATGCATATGTCTGTCTGTGTTACTTCTATTAAATATCCAGGATATACACCGAGGAGTGGAATTGCTGGGTCATATGGCAGCTCTACCTCTAGTTTTTTGAGGAGCCACCAGACCGTTCTCCACAATGGCTGTAGCCATTCTGTGTTCCCACCAGCAATGGATGAGAGTTCCAATTCCTCCACATCCCCTTTGTCATGGATTGAGTTATGTCCCCCGCAAAAATGTGTGTATCAATTTGACTGGGCCATGATTTCCAGTATTGTGTAGTTGTCCTCCATTTTGTGGTTGCAATTTGATGTTAAAGAGGATTAGGGCGGGATTGTAACACCCTTACTAAGGTCATATCCCTGATCCAACATAAACAGAGTTTCCCTGGGGTTTGGCCTGTACCACCTTTTATCTTACAAGAAATAAAAGGAAAGGGAAGCAAGCAGAGAGTTGGGGACCTTGTAGCACCAAGAAAGCAGCACCGGGAGCAGAGCGCGTCCTTTGGACCTGACGTTCCTGCGCTGACATGCTCCCAGACCAAGGGAAGACTGATGACAAGTACCTTCCCCAAGAGCCGACAGAGAGAGAAAGCCTTCCTTGGAGCTGACACCCTGAGTTTGGACTTGTAACCTACTGGACTGTGAAAGAATAAATTTCTCTTTGTTAAAACCATCCACTTGTGCTATTTCTGTTATAGCAGCACTAGATGACTACGATACCCTCTAACACTCGTCATTTTCTGTTTTTTTCATCTTAGCCATCCTAGTGGGAGTGGAATGGTATCTCACTGTGGTTTGAATTTGCATTTCTCTGAAGGCTAATGATGTTAAGCATCTTCTCCTGTGTCTGTTGGCCACCTGAATATCCTCTTTGGTGAAGTGTCTGTTCATGTTTTTGATTGGGCCAAAGAGTTTTCAATGGCTAATTTTTCGTGAGTAGAGTGCCAGGACTTTCTTCCAAGGCCCTTTTAGGTGGGCTTGAACCTCCAACTTTTTGGTTAGCAGCCAAGAGTGTTAACCATTAGTACAATCCAGGGATGCTTCTTCAACATGTGGATACTGACTTTTCTGGTCTCCCATCTTACCTTATTCTATTCTTCCACTTACCTGTTCCCAAACTCCTCACTCCTCAAAACTCTTTCCCAAAACCTTCAACTGTGCCCTCAGGAACTCATCTTCTAGAATTAATTCTACAGAGTCAACATTCTTCACCAAATACTCCCTATACAACCCTGTGCTAATTGAAACTGATACTTCCCCTTGAAGACTTCCCTCCTCTGCTCTGCAGTCCTCACAGGCTAAGGATAGCCATGTCCCCCCATTCCAGGGATGTCAAAATCAAGAAGGGGAGGGTGTATGTCCTCCCAGTTACTCTGAAACTCACATCATTTACCTCAGAATCTATCACTCCTTGTAGCTTTGTCCTACAACCTCCTGAACACCACCAATGTCATCCACTGAAGACCCATACCTATGATTTATTCTCTAATACAAGAACTCGTATCATCTCATCTTCCATTGTCTATAGCATTCTCTTGTATAAAAAAACTCACTGCGGTCGAGACGATTCTGACTCATAGTGGCCCTGTAGGACAGAGTAGAACTGCCCCATAGGGTTTCCAAGGAGCGGATGGTGGATTTGAACTACCAACCTTTCGGTTAGCAGTCAAGCTCTTAACCACTATGCCACAATAATATAAAAATAACTGGCTTTAATGAAGCACTACTGCGTGGTGTCAAGCAATATTCTACGCATGTTATAGGGACTATTATTCAGTTAATTGTCACAAAGTCCTTGTGAGAAAATGTTATTAGTAGCACCATTTTTCAGATGAAGAACTAGAAGGTTAGAGAAATCAAGAAACATGCCTAAGCTGTGATGCAGTCTCAAGTTTGCACAACATCAGAGGCTGTGCTCTCAGTCATCAATTCTGATGGCTAGACCTACTCACAGGTCCTGGAATTACTCTTCAGCCCCGTTAGGGTGATACCCCAGCCCCTGAAGTTACCATAAAGTGCTCTACCTCTGAAATCACACAGACAACACAGCCCACTCTTTGATGAGACATCAGACCACTTGCTCCATTACTCCCTTTAATGGTTTGGGGCCATTAGTCTATCAAAATGCTTATTTTATTATATCTAACCTGTTGTTGTCGAGTCAGTTCCAACTCATAGTGACCCTATAGGACAGGGAACTGCCCCATAGGGTTTCCAAGGAGCAGCTGGTGGATTTGAACTGCCGACCTTTTTGGTTAGTAGCTGAGCGCTTAACCACTGCACCAATTTTATTACTATCTACCAGTCTATAGTCTTTTAATTTCTATGTAGTGTACTCTTCATCTTTTCCCCCTTAATGATTCAGATTAGAATAATTATTCACATTAACCTTTGTATTTGATATATGCAAAAATTCTCTTTCAAATATTTCCTTGACCTACGGAGCTTCCACTGCATGTACCTGGCAAATTACAAAAGTAGGTGAATTTGAATGTCAACTGGCTATCTATGGAAAATAGATTGCAGAGTGCCACTGGGAAAAAAATCCATAAAACCAGGCAGCTGGATAGACTATTATAAATTACCGGTCACCATCCTTTAAGGCCAACCAGCAACCCTATTTAACCTATTTAGTTAGGGCAGTTCTCTCATAATCCAAAATTACTATTTTAAATCTTCTCCATCCTTATCAAACATTTCTCCATTCCAATTCCCACTCTCACGCCCAACAGATAACTTCACCTGATTTATCACAGAAAAATTCAAGCCTTCATGTAACTCCCTCAACTTCATTCTTCCTATCTATATGAGTCCTTCTTCTTATAAAACATCAATTTATTCACATATGCTCTGAATTAAATCCTCTGGCCCTGAATCAAGGACCCTGCTTTATGGTTTATCTCCTCTCCCCTATGATCTTTAACCTCTTTTTCTCCACTAAGTCCTTCTGCAACCATTTAAACATAGTCAAATCTTTTCAATCCTTAAGGGGGAAAAAAGTCTTTCAATCTTAAATCTCCTTGCAATTATCACACTCTTCAATCTTTTGCCTGATAATCGAATTTTTTATAAAAGTTTTCTACTCTTACCTCCATTTTCTCACTTTCCACCACACTTTAATTTGGCTTCTGCTGCCAACCAGCTGTGCAAATTTCTCAGTGTGGAGAGGGAGGTCATGCCCAACTTACCTGGGATGAGATGGCCAGTGATCCAGTGTCTTCTCCCTCAACCTTGATGATAATTTCCTGAGGATGGAAAGAGTCCTGAGAAGGCAAAACAGATGAGAAAAAGGAAAAAAATCAGGGAGCTAAGTCATGGCTCAAAATTTCCACTGTGGGTGGGCTAGGGTTTGACACATCAACTATTTTAACATGGTCCACCTACCAAACTTCCACTCCCTCCACCGATAAGTCCAAGCTAACCATGTGGAGAGAAAGAGGGGACATCTGGAGGCACACTGAGACACCAGACGTGGGCATGAGGTCATTGCAGACCTTCCTGGCTAGCCCAGCTACCAGCTAAATGCAGCTGAGTGACCCCAATCACTATATGGAGCAAAAGAACCATCCAGCTGGGCCCTGCCTGAATTCCTGGATCACAGAATTGTGAGCAAACAGAATGAAATACGGCACAACTAAAGCCAGAATCATAAAGATTAACACATTAACTACATAAAATGTTTGGTAACAAGTGCCATCAATAAAGGCACCATCAATAAGAATCTGCACTATTAAGACTTCTTCCAAATCGGTAAGAAAAGGTAGCTTCAATGGGAAAATGGAGCAAGGACAGTGCACATGTAACTCAACTCAGAAGAAATAAAAAATGGCTGGTGAATAAAAAGATGCTTGCCTCTTTAAATCATATAAATCGACTATTTCTATAACTAGTATTTACCTCTATACGAGACCATAAATTCACACCAATACCTACAAGTCAACAATACATTTTATTCTAGACTTTCTGCTTTCTACGTTTGTATCTTCCACCTCTGACCCCTATTATCCTCATTATATTTACTGATTTGCTCAAACCCTTTGTATGTAAACAATTCCTCAACCACAGAGAGTGTTTCTGACGTCTGTGGGCACCAACTGACCCAAGCCTGCAATGGCAGAATCCCTGCCCTCCCACCTTGGCAGTCCATATAACCTTCCTGAATTGGATACACACACACATACATATTTTTAAAATGTTTTATTTGAAATAGTTTAAGACTCACAAGAAGTTGCAAAAATAGTACAGAAAGTTCCCATGTTCCCTTCACCCAACTTCTTCCCCCCATAACCATAGTTAAGTGCATAACCAGGGTATTTGTCAAAAGCATGTAACTGACACTGCTACAATATTAACAACTCAGGTAGAGACCTTATTTGGATTTCACCAGGTTTTATGTGCACTCTGTTTATATTTTTGTTCTTTTAATGAAAACACTTCTATTTAAAAATGTAATGCACATATCAATAAGGCTACTTGTATTTACCTTTAGCAAACAGAAAGCACTCCTAGATGAATGTATAAGAAATCTCACTAAAGGGTTATATTATAATAAAAATTTGGGAAGGGGGTTTAAATGTGTACTAATAAATGTCTTGTAAAATAAATTATGCTTTATCTAGGCAACTGAATATTATTAAGCAACTAAGAGACAGATTTGCATGTAAGGATGCATACAAATGATAGAAAGATGTCTACAATACATTGTTGAATGAAAAAGAACAATACATGAAATATAAATAGATTTTTATAAAATATAAACATGCACAGAAAAGTCTGGAAGGACATTCTCAAAAGCATTAAAAGTTTTTTTTTTTTTTTAGTATTTTATTGTACTTCAGGTGAAGGCTTACAGAACAGATAGTTTCTCATGTAACAGTAGCACACATGCTGTTTTATGACATTGGTTAACAACCCCACAACATTTTAACCCTCTAAATTCTCAACTTTTTTTTTTTTTTTTTGGTGAAAATACACACAGCCAAAGATACGCCATTTCAAAAATTTTTTTACATACACATTTAAGTGACATTGACTACACTCTTGTAATTGTGCTGTCATTCTCACTTAAGATGAAGGCTTACAGGACAAAATAGTCTCCCATTTAACAGTTACTACAAATGTTGCCCTATGACAATGGTTAACAATCTCACAACACATCAACAATATCCTTACTCTACTTTGTGTTCCCTATCATCAGCTTCCTACTCCCCTTCAAGCATTAAAAGAAGTTTTTTTTTTTTTTTTTTTTTTTTTGGTGGGGCAGGACCAAAAGAAGTTTTTTGGTTTTTTTCTTTTTTTTTTGGTGGGGCAGGTCACTCCCAATGTTCTAATACTGTACATGATTTTTCAATGGCATTTATTTTCTTTAGTTAAATATTCAGAAATCAGCAAAAGTGTTTCCTTTTTGAAAAACCACTTAGAAACCAGGTCATTCCTTTGCAGCTTCCAGAATTTTTTTCCTCAACCTGTTAAATGACAGTCCATTCAAGGATACATACTTTGCTCCTTCTCAAATCTTCACACTGAAAAGCAAGTCCTGTGGATTCTTGATTTACCACTCAATTATTCAGAAGCCTCTGAATCATAAACTAAAAGGAAACAAATTATTGTACTTTTCAAAGTGTACCAATGTTGTTTTGTTGTTGTTGCTGTCATTTCATTTTGGTTTTTTGCCCTTACCAACCTAGAGAAAATTTCATTATTGCAGGGGGAAGGGTTACCAAAAATGGTTAACCTTAATGTGTTCAGAGGCAGAAAACAATTTTTTCAAACTTAAAAAAAAAAAAATTTGTATTTACTGGGCAGCTACTGAGGTGAACCATGATTATTCAAAGAGCTGGAGCTGCCACAGTATAGAGAAGGTCCAAAGTGAAAGCACACACATTAAGTTGCCTGTATTATTATCAAGTACAAACACCAGCACGGTAAAACAAAACAGTTACCATGGAGTTGATTCCGACTTACGGCAACCCCATGCGTGTCAGAGCAGAACTGTGCTCCATAGGGTTTTCAATGGCTGATTGTTCAGAAGTAGATCACCAGGCCTTTCTTCTGAGGTGCCTTTCTTCTGAGGTGCCTCTGTGTGGACTTGAACTGCCAACCTTTTGGTTAGCAGCGAAGTGTGTTAACCATTTTGCACCACCCAGGAGGCCAGAAAACTCAGTTAAATCCACAGAGTCCACCAGCCATGATCCAAACATGGATTGCCTGATACGACCTCCTCCCTGTTCCTCTGCTCCACCTGTCAAATCTGATTGATCATTCAAGCCCCAGATCAAATGCCACCTCTTCCATGAAGTGTTCCCAGACAGCACAAAGCCCCATCTCTTCTTCCCTTGGAATTTCTTAGCTGTTTTTATCAAACCTTTCCTGTGCCAGCAAAATTATTCTTCTCATATTACTTAAAACCCGTTGCCATCGAGTCAATTCCAATAATAGCGACGCTAAAGGACAGAGTGTCCAAGGCTGTAATCTTTACAGAAGCAGACTGCCACATCTTTCGGCCATGGAGTGGCTGGTGGGTTCAAACCACCAACCTTTCTGTTAGCAACAGAGTGCTTAACCACTGCACCACCAGGGCTCCTCCTCATATTACTTATATGTCTCTCCCTTGGTTGATAAATTCTATACTATAAAAAATACACATTTTTCACCTTTGTATTCCCCTCAGTATCTTGAGGCAGCACAATAAAAAATTTCTGGATTTGACAAGTCTAAGAAATGGAGATGTGTGCAGGCTTTGGGATATACAAATGGAATTAAAAGACTTTACCCCCGCTTTCTGTTATCTTCTGAAGCATTTGTTAATTCCCCTTTCTGTTTGACAGGCACCTCCCCATGTAATAAAGGAGCATTTTCTTTTTTCCTACATTACAGAATGGAAACGGGTATTAGACCGTTGACTTCTACAGAGAGAAGAGTAATCGTCAGCATTAACAACTGCTCTCTGTGACATGAGTGGGACCACGTGGGACCCAGAGTGGAGGAACGGAACCAGGCAGAGCCTCTGCTGAGTGACCTATCCACTTCACAGCGAGCTAGTGGTCGAGTCAGGCCTAGAACTGCTATCTGCTCGCCCACACAGAGATGACCAAATCTAACCCTCCTAATTTGGGGGGTTCCTGGGATAATAAAACAAAGCTTACAGACGAATCACAGAATTATTGCTAAACTCCATTCTCAGGACTTTGCATTTGAGGTGAGATGACAGATACACTTGGAGAGAAACCCTCTACATTCATGAGGAGGTTTTTGATGTTGTTAGGTGTTGTTGAGTCGATTCTGACTCATAGCGACCCCAACATCACAGAGTAGAACTACCCCATAGGGTTTTCTTGGCTGGCTGTAATCTCTACAGAAACAGATCATCAGGTCTTTTTCCCACGGAGCTGCTGGGTGGGTTTGAACTGCCAACCTTTTGGTTAGCAGCTAAGCACTTAACCGTTTGGGCCATCAGGGCTCTAACAGTCATCAAAAAAAAAAAAAAAAAAAAAAACCATTGCCTTTGAGTCAACTCTGATTCCAACTCATAGCAACCAGATTTTCTTTCTTGGTGTGTTCATGTCTCATATTGCCCATGGGAGAAGAAGGCCAGAGCTCATAGTTCAGCTCAAGGGTGTGATATACGCGCCTCATGTGGAGACCCTGAGTTTTCTTCATCACTGATTCCAGAGGACACAAAATCAACTCCCCTAGAGAGCTGGAAAGTTCCTTTGTCTGATTCTTTCAGGGATTCTCCTGACAAGCTGGGTCTCCCTTCTTCCCATGCACAAGAAAATTCTCTCTCCCGCCCATACCATCATCCATGAGTAATTCTCACTTTCCTCAAATATACAGAATAGACCCAGCCCAGGACCACCAACTGGCGTATCTCTGGATGTTGACACTATCGATGGACATGCGTGGCTCCAACCACCTTCTTGGCAGGATTTTTGGTCTCAGCCTCTGAAGGTAAGAAGGGCTCAGAGTGGGCTCAAGGCCTTCCCTGACCCAATTACTTCCAGGTGTGTGGGCCACTGAACTCTCTCATGGGATGTCCCAATACTCAGATGATCTATTCCTAGGTTGGCTCATTGGACTCATCTCTTTCCCTGAAAGCCAAGACTTGGGCTCCCTTAATTTATCTCCATCAAGACTTAGTATCTTTCAGGTACAAATCAAGTACCTGTACATCTTCTGATAATAAATAAAATGAACTGAGGACATTCAGAGTTGAGAAGTATGGTAACCAGTCTCCAAGATGGCCCCCAATGACCCTTCTCCT